AAATAATGGAGTAACTAAATAGACCGTTCTAGAATTTGGGTTCGGAACTGGGAGGTGGCACTCAGTATTAATAGAAAGATCCAAAGAAGGCTTCATGATTGAGATGGATGTATGACTTAAGTTTTGACAGGCTTTGAATAATTCTTCACCCCTTCCATGGAAAACAAAAAAAAACTTTGAAAGTTGGAATGAACATGATTATGCAGGGGTCAGTGAAGGGGTAGTTTATAACTTAGAGACATCTCAGACTTTCATGTGTGCCAGCTGCTTAGTAAGAATGTAAGCCCTCTGGTATAAGGACTAGGAAGGTAAGACTGATAATAGAAAGATTCTGAATTATGGAGTTAGAAAAACCTCATTTCTCAATCTTGTCTTTGCAATAAACACCAGTGTTATGTGGAAAATTTTACTAGCATTCTTTGAGATTGGGGTTGGGTTTCTTTATAACAATGGGAATAATGAATCCTTTCTTGAAGGGCTGCAGTAAAGATGTAATGAGACTAATGCACTCTACAGCAAGTAACAAGGAGTCAAAAATATGAACTTTCTTAGTATAAGTGCATACCCTACCCATGATAAGAGCTCAATATATGTGATGTGACTGATAGGAGAATAATTCCGTTGTAGTGGGACATCATTATACATTTTTTCAAGCATGTTAGAGGTACTTAAACCATGAGAATGATACAATTACACAAGGAGAATACGTAGTGAAAGGTTGATTAAAGGGAGAACCACAGAAGGGATCACAATTACAGAATGGGAAGAGGAGTAGAATTCCTCCAAGAAAATAAATAATAAGTTGTCAAAAGTACAGAAATATATGCTCAGGAGGGCTTAGGAAAACTGAAGGCAAGTGTATAGAAAATGCCAAAACATACGAAGTCCACTGCATTATAGAAACCTGGAAGTGTAAATCCTGAGAAGTTTCCATTAGATGGAGGCTATGAGTAAGCCTTAGGAGAGCATGTTTACCTGCATGACTGGGAGAGAAAGCTAACGGCAGGAGGCCGAGGAATAAATGGAAGCTGAGCAAGCGCAGACAGTGAATTCCTACTGCTTTCCAAGACTTTAGTGATGACAGAAGAGGAAAAGCAATGTACTTAGAAGGGATACTGTGTTAAAGGTGGAAGCAGAGTCAGAAGCTTGAAACAGAAGTGTGGACCAAAAACTGGTCTCCATGGAGTAAGATAAGAATGTCCAGAGGGAATTCAGTAAAAAGTGAACTGAAATATTTACAATCTGTATTAAGTTTAGTGGTAGGAAGTTCTTAAGATCTTTATCACCAATCACAGGAAACATGACAGAATTTTCTTAAATAAGCCACAGTAGTGGATGAAAGTAGAAAGAAGAATAAGGAGGAAGTGAAGGATGCAGCACAGTTTCTTTGCCTGCATAAATATCAGCAAACATATGTTAAACTGAAATTAACTGTAAATATAATCTCTTTTAAATAAGTAAC